ACTGTTGTTGATGTGAGTTAAATGCTCACCAAAGCTTAATGAAACTTTAAAAAAACTAGTTTAAGTTTCTCATAATCTATAACACAAACTATTATGATATTATATATACATATATCATGACTTCATGCATAATATAATTTCACTGAATCACATCTAGGTATACACAATATGTGATATGTTCCCATATGCAAACCTAAAAATGAAGCACTTTTGATGAAGCAATATTAAGACAATTTTATCTGGAATTTTCGTGAGAACAACAAACAAAGTTCATTTACAAACATTATAGAAACCTAAAAGCAACAATATTTAATTTTTCAATATTTTAAACATTGCTTGAAATCATCTTTTAGATTAAAAATCCTTTTAAGAAATCTTCCCTACAGTTCTAGTAACCATTTTAAATTGATATATATTGTATAATATATGTATGTCATCCATTTCATTAGATAATGCGATTCTTTTTGTACTTGTGCAAGGATAATGGCATTTGAACCTTAAAGAGGAATGAAATCAATTGTCTATGTATAGAAGAATAGAAGTTCTTAAAAAGAAGCGCTAACCCTAAAAGTATAAAAGCTGGACGATACAGACAAAAATAAAATACTGAATTTCTAACGATAAAGTCAATAAAATCTTGAAAGTCGAATTAAGGCTTAGATATTTAAATAGGCTAACCATATAGCACTACCATAAACACTCCAATATATAACACATGAACTGTGCTCCAAAAAAAGTATATGGCATCTATGATCCCTCTAGCGTAATGAGGTGAGAAGAAATTGAAAATGTTTGTGAAGAATCGTAGTAGTAATATAACTTATTTATGTATATAATTATAATTACTGTTGTTTTTATGTAAAATATATTTATGTTTAACAAAAACACTAACCTTTGTTATGTTACAAATTAATGAATACACTTTATTTAATGTTACGCATCAGGAAACAAAAACTATAAACAACACAACATCTGTTCATAAGTATTTATTATGTTCTATTGCTTAATACAAACTGTCGATTTTTATTAACAAATAATAAAATCATCTGCATACTAACCAAACATAGCTATAACCTTCAAAATATGCAAAAAGCCAAAAACTATAAGCACGAAATTCTGTAAATCCAAACCCAAGTTCACACAATGAAATTCTACTGAAATTAAAATAACAAAATTTCAGATATCTATGGAGACAATGATGAGCTATGATGAAACCAGTTGCATCTTTTTCAGTATTTTAATCGTTTTAATTTTAATATATCAAATTTTTTATAAAACACGAAATCATTGCTGAAAGTCGTCGGTTACAGTAGTGACCTTATTGTTGGATTTATCTGGCCTGCACAGCACGCAACACTCCATACAGCTTTTATTCAGAACTGAAGCAAAGCCCAAAAGTAATTAAAATCCAGTAACGGAGGTCTTTCTGAATGGTGTGAAGTTGCTTGTACAATCAAACCGAAACATTTGTAATAAATTGAGCGGAAATAGAAATAGTACAACTTTAATGGAAATTTTTTTTTAATCTACTGTAAGTTGAGGCACAAATATATTTCTATATTATCATGCATTTAAAATACAGACTTACATACATTGTCATATATGTACTCGTATATATCTTTAATTGCATAATTGTTATAGCATTTCTCATTGGTTTGGTTTTTTTTGTTTGTCAGATACTTTATCTTTCTTCCATTCACTTCTGAACTTCTTCGATAACAATTTGATTCTTCATCACAATAGCAATGAAAAATGATTAAAAATTAGGCAATTAATTTTGTAATGATCACTGCATTTAAGAGATACTGGGTAAGTAAGATATGGAGGCAAGAAATTAAAACTACCTGTACACGCAAGTTATTATCATCCAATGCCATTTATCAACGTTTTGTATCTGGTATCTGAATGCGGCGAGAGAACAGTGAACGTTTTTATTAAGTGCTTAACTGAGTTATCACACTTGTAATTTGGGTTTTATATGAAAAGGTTAATTAAATTTCAACTCAGTCGTTTTAACTAATTTATAAATCAAAGCCTCTAACAAAGTGAGTGCATGCGGCCAACACACCATCAATCATTTTTGGGTCAAACCGAGACCTTTAATTACGGAGCGTATAGAGTACAACACCCTCATGGTGTAGCCTACAAGAAAATAACTCAATTTCTACAAATAAAATTTTTAACGCATGAAAAATTTGCCTCTAGAAGTTCATGCAGTGGCATAAATCTTCTCTTTTTATAATTAAAGTAGCCCAAAGCATTTATCATTTCTTTTGGTTCTTTTGGTTTTTTTGGTTCTTTTTGAGATTTTTCGATATTTTATTCGCCGAATACCAAACGTTGCCGGCATTTGAAATTTCGGTTGGAGCAGCAGCAAAAAATCGCTAATAAGTTTACATTATTTCGTACGGCAATTGTATATGAAATTAGGCATGTAAAATACGTGATCGACATACTTTATCTGGCAGTTGTAGTCCGGGTAAGCAGGGCAGGGCAGGGCAGGACAGGCCCAGGCTATTGCATTCAGAAGTATCGAATATTTATTTTAATTTATTGTAAATTTGCTGTGGATTTTGACTTTTGTTTTGTATTTGTTAAGAATTTGAATTGTGAATTTCGGTGAAGAAATGGTTGATATTATGCAGATATCGTAACGACAATTGCTTAATAAATTAGCTGAAGTATTCTAGAAGTACGTAGCCATTGAATATACAATTCAATATGATATGTCCAAAATAATTAGAGAAAGTTTATCGACAAGTTCGATACTTAAAATAGCTACTGAAAAGCAACTGGGAAAATAGAAATCAAACAAAAAAGCGAAAGTTCTATTAGCTTCTGTTTATCTTCATTACAGAAAACTGTTTAGGTTTGCAATCAAAGTTCAAATTAATAAGAATTAAAAGAACAATATCAGATAAATAAATATTCACAAAAAATGGTTAATTTGGTAAAACACAGTGAAGCTTTAATGTGTAATTGTTCTCATAAAATAACTATTTATAAATACAAAACTCAATTACTAAGATAAGATGTGCAAATAATCAGTACTCTTAATCTGAGTAACGAATATGGATAAATATGTTTTGTAGTTTGAAGTATACACTATTAATCTATTACTCAGTCATCGAGCTCATTATTCGAGATCATAAATACCACTATTACAACATACTATAATATAATAACATGACTCATGCGTACATCATTTAACCATTTTATTTGTTCCGAAAATAAACATAAATAAAACAGAAATGATTAAGATATTGATCAAACTTTTGTTTAAGTTATTATAATTTGGACGTTTTTCTTCAGATAGTTTGGACATCTATCAGAATGGTATACTTTGGAGTTAATTTTTAGATAACTGATAATAATTTGAAGACTGGTCACATAAACACGGTTTCGTCTGCAATCTCACCAAGACCAATGATGACAGTCACATAATGTTAGTGGTATATTTACAATACCAAAAGTTGGTATAATAGAACCGGAAAACTTCTCACACAACAAAACCAAAATAGAGTGTGTTGTAAAGGAGCTGGTGCTAACGTCCTGCCCCCTTCACACTCATATCTTTAATTTCATGCACAAGGAGCTCGATAATCACTAAATTATAAATAGAAAATATTATCAAGTCGGTTTTATTTTTTCAGAATTTTACCTTTTAGTTCGATCGAAGTTTTTAGTATATTTTAATACATGTTTCAGCAAATTCGCTTTTGCCTTCATTAGGAGAATTCCTGTATTTAAAAAGTATCTATCCCAGATCAAGAGAAAAATAAGCTTTACTTCTATCTATCTACCTACTACCTTATTATTAAATGGTTTATGAAACATCATTTTTATATGTATAGATAATTTTAATACATTTAATAATCTTGAAGCGATCTATACTATAAAATCAGTAACCTTAAACTAAACATATGAATTGAATCCATGAATCGTTTGACATATCTTACTGAAACGGTACCACCAAATCAAGGCCATGAAAATGTATAGGGTTAATATATCAAAGATTACATTATTAATATGGCTTAATTATTTCCACCAAGCCAATGATTAAAATGCTTTCGAAAGTGAACGCTCTTATTTATGAATTTCAAATCATTATTATCATTTATCATTATTACTAATACTTCTGCTACACGACTACAGATACAAAAATATCTTTTCTTTTGGTAAACACGCTATTAAGCCCGGCGAGCACACCTACAATTATTCTCTGCCGCAATAATAGAAATATTGAGAAATATGGAATAAGGAGGCTTCCTTAGTATACGTAAGTAATCATTTACTGAAGGTTAATTGAAAAAATTTTTAAAGTGAATATTTTGATTATATATACTGAAAACAAAATGTATGTTAAGTAAAAGATCTTCGCAATAAATTACAGGGATGCCCTAAATTATTTTATCCCGTTTAAGTTATTTAACATTCGATTGCTTAACAAATCTAAAATTCCTAAAAATATAAAACCTGTTCTCATATGCAGAGAGATTTAATAATTATCACATCTGATTTCAAACCCTAAAAGACAATAATAACACAAAAGATTACTTCGAAAAATTAGCATACATAATGATTTCATTCGTTCCAATTATGTAAACTTTTCTCATTGTGTAAAAGTATCTAAAAGTAAACCGAATCACGGCATTAGTTAATTAAAACAATTCCGTAGCCGAACGAACTACTTTGTGTGCATAGGATACATTTTTGATGTTAAGTACTAAAATAAAAACATAAATAAATAATTTCACATTATGTGAAAAAAAAAAATCTTAAATGTACTACTAAAGACTCAACATGTGTCTACATATGTGGACACCTATGGAGTAACAGATTTTGTAGAAAACCATTGAAATAGATACAAGTTTGCTGGAAGGAAGGCTGCGAAACTTGTTTCAACCACGTGAGCATATGTATGTATATCAACGAAATATTAATAAATGAAATACTTAGTTTCTTAAATCAACTTAGTTTATATTAATTAGTTTACTCACCGCTATGTTTAGTGGAATACATGAATATATGGGCGATAAGGTGAACGCAGACGCATTCCAAATCGAACGAAAGTGAAACTTTCCGTTTATAGCGCAGTCCGGCAGTACGTATACATTTGTATCTGTCAACAACGGGTTTAATTAATTAGTTAAAAATACATAACCAGTTATGACAAATATTTCAAAATACAAGCTAAGCAATATACTCATAAATTTTATTAATATTTTATATATTTTTTCCTTAAAATAAAATTTTATTTATTTTATTTTAGTAAATATTTGATTCGAAAATAATAAAAAGATGAAGATAAAAATTCACGCTTCGCGCTGAACTTAGGAGGAAGAAAAAGCGTTCATTGTTAGTCATAATTATATCAGATTAAACACCACAAACACCATAACAACATAAATTTAGAAAGAATCCGAATAGTCGGGGTCATAACATTGCTCTTTTGCGAAATGAAGTGTGAACGGATATGTTTATATTAGAAGAATACAAATATAATTATTTATATAAACAGAAGTTTGAAAAGTCTAAGAATATCTACAATGACTGTTTAGATACATGTTTTTATAAAACAAGCAATTTGTAGATTTTGTATTTGTTGAGATACATTTCAGAAAATTTAGATGATAGGATTGAACTGATCAGTATAGCTACCTGATAATCTTGTAAGGTAAGTACTATTAAGTACTTGTAGAGGAAGTACTCACACACTCAGCGACAATACTCAGCCACCAAATCACATTTTTCTTTGTAAATTTCATCTATGATAAGATTGAACTGATCAGTATAGCTGCCAGATAATCTTATAAGGTTAGTACTATTAAGTACTTGCTGAAGATGTACTCAAACACTCAACGACAACAGTGCCACCAAATCACATATTTCTTTGTAAATTTCATCGAAAAGGTGAATGTCTTTACTTTTTTTATCTCCTTATAAATATCAAAAAAATTTAGATTTTAAAGTAAAGAGTTAGTCTAGATCATGAAAAACCCACAACAAATTTTAACTTATGAGATTTATAAAAACGAATTGGTTTTAAATTTGTGTATTTAAGCAGACTAATAAATAAGATAGCGAGTTTCCGTTATATTTCTCCAATAAGAATGTTTCTATGGATTTTAATAGAAGTTTACCGTCCTAGCGATAATTTTATTCACAGTTTTTATTTTGATTTATATGGTTAGATTGTTGGAAAATATAAAGCATGAAAGCCATGGCTTAATATACACTCGATTAATTACCAGTATGATGCGAAATATAATCTCTAACTCTGATTCAATATAGCCTTAAGTCCTACCATTCTGCGTTTCTAACTAGGTTTAGTTATTGTTATTTTTATTTTATTTTCTACAACTGTACAATTATCACTGCTAGAGTTAATATAGTTTTTATAGCTGTCGTAAAACATACTTTTGAATGCATTTTGACGTCACTGGAATACAGGGACTTACTTTGTCATCAATTCAATTTCATACTGCAGTCATTATTAGTTGCGAAGAAATTTTTTTTATTAAAATGTGTCAATTAAAATAACAGTAGAATTTTTTAGATTTTTAATTTAATTTTAAGAAATAAAAAATTAACAACAAGAAATACTTAAACCCAGATTGAATTCAAGCTTAGGGCTTTACTACTACGAAACTTTGAAAAGCATGGAACCATTGCCAGTTTCATTTTCTGTATCGTACTATCTTATCCCATGATAGTCATGATATATTTTTAGAGCCTCAACTATTTTTAAATATTAACTTTATAAAAGAATTTCTTAAATTCCTACAACTACAACTGATGATGCACTTGCACATTTACTTGTGCAAGTAAGCATTTTTTGTGCTTTTTTGTTCCTTATTGACTTGTATTATGAACTGTTTAATAGTGTTCCTATAAGCTAAGATTATTTATCTTCCATCTAGATGAAATTATTTCTACAAGTATACACAAGCCGATAGAACAAAATTTATTTTAATAATTCAAATGAAAACTTTTCAAAATTCCTGCCGCGGTATGGGTTCGTATGAAGTATTTTAATCTAATCAGATTTCGCATGAAGTGCAAAAACTTCAAACTTCTTGAAAAACTTCTCATAACAAAGAATTTCGTGAAATTTCTTCACAAAAATCTTCACTGCTTGTATCGCATCAAGTTGTACGGCATGAAAATAAACATGTACATACGGCGTACCTAGATACGCAGATACAATTTATGTTTGCATTTATATTTTATAGCTTCACTTGCAAGCTGGCAGCAAACTTGCTTGGCTTCTATGTATCTACGAAAATAAAGTTTACACGACATTAAATAAAAAGAAATCCAGAAGACATGCAAACCCGTAAGAAACTGAAGGAACCACGCGACTTCAGCGCGATAGATAAGCACTTTTTCCGCACATAGCCGCAAATTTTTTTGAAAAATTTTTAATTCTACTTTTGTTTGAGAATTTCATTTGCGAATTTTTATGTAATTTTTTCATGTTTTTTTTGTTTTTGTATTGTATGAGAATGTTTATTTCAGACGTTTGCGTTGCGTATTTTGTAAAAATGTTGATTAAGTACACAAGAGCCCGTTTCCACCTAGCTTTCATAACCAATTGCTTTCTCTCTTCTCTTGTTCTGCTTTTATTTATATCTGCAATTGTATCTGTATCTGTATCTGCTGCTGTGACGGCATTTAGCTGTGCCATTCTTGTTATTGTTCCCATAATTCATAAGGTTTTTATTTACACGTTCTATTGGCTTCCCATGGAGCAGCATAATTGCAGTGATGAAGCTCATTTATTGCAAAGTACCATGTGAACACAATTCCTGTGTGCCACTTGGATCAATTACGAATTGTATTTGTATTTATGGACTCGAACCGCGAAGTTTTAGAAGAAACCAAGATAAAATTAAGTGAAATTATTAATATTAATTTTTTATTGTGTGGAAGTAATTATTCTTCTTCTCTAACAATTAAATTGCACATTTTTTAATGGACTTATTTTATAGGTATTAGGTACTTCTTAAGAAACATATAAAACCAAGTGTAGTTTCTCGTCAGAAACGTATTAAATTTAATGGAACTCTAAAGATTATTTTAAGGAATATCTTATTTGATATATGAAGAAGTACATAGTACCAATATTTTTAATTTTCATGTATCTTATGTTAAAAGAAGTACAACGCATAAAATAATAGATATATATATTATAAATATAAATCCAAAAATAAAGAAGCATAAAAATTATAAAGAAATGATTTCAATAGAATATCTTTATAAAATAATTTCAGAATTTTAAGACCGTAGATACTCTGTACAAAAAAATTAAACTTACTTTACTTAATGAAGTTGTTTATATATATTTCTTTTGGAAATAAATAGCCTATTATGTGAAAATAGCACTCATAATTTACTCATGCTTATATAATGCTTATAGGACTTATATTTTACTAACACGTCAAAAAAAATTTTTCTGAAACATCATATATTTTAAAATTGTAAATAACACTAAGCCATTTAGCCAATAGATCATTGGTTGAAGATATCAAAAAAGACAAAAGATCTAAAGAATATTTAGATAAATAGGCACTTAATGCCATTTTTAACCTTTTAAAATTTGCCTTAGAATATTTATGTATAGATTTTATATAAAAAATGACAATTATTAATGCACATTTATCGAGTTAATGCTCATCATGTAAATGAAGTTAAAGAATTGTTATGAATGTTATTAAGATTATGCATTTAAGTATATTAGAAGAGATTATTTTGAGGAAAACGAAATTAGTTGAGTAAAGAGCTCAGTAAAAACCATATTTCACAGACAAATGTGAAATTCTTATTGTTTTCAAAATAAATAGAAAAATTAAAAATTAAAGGAAGAAAAAAATTTCGATTAAAATATGATTGCGATGACCGAAGACTTCTGCGACTTGCCACATTGGTGAAAACAGTATTTCTCAGTAACTTTGATTTTAACGTCAATATGACAGTAATGACTTCTTTAAGTAACAGAAACTATTGTAGTTTTTGAGGTTTGGAAAAGTAGTGAACTACAGCAACATATATAATTGTTGAGTGGTATAAACACCCACTGATGATGGGTATTTGGCCATACTCGAAACAACTGTATGGTCACCCTAAAATTTAATTAATTAAAATAATATAAAAAGAGTTTTCCTCAGTAGTGTATGTCAGAATTTGCGCCGATTAAGATCAAAAATTTGAATTTTTGTGTAGATATGCTTTTTTTTAGTTTTAACCACAAAAAAAGAAGTATCAAAATAGTTGTCAGACCATGTTTTTGGTCATTACTAAAAAGAGTGTGAAACCACGGTGACCATTCGTCAAATGACTGTCAGTATAAAAGAGCCCTAACCGTTGCGCTGTGCTATATTATTCGTTTACCCAGATCATTGCTTGAGGTTTTTAATATCCCTAATATAATATTCGAATAATTAAGACTACTTTAATTTACTGATAGACAGTGATTAGTGGGGATTCTTGCATTATTAAACTTATGTGAGGCGAGTAAAATCCTTATCATTAATATCAGTTATTGATTTCAAAATTTTCTTATTTCATACTATTTAGATAACCTCTCTATCTTATCATATTTTAATCGAATTAAAAATTTAGTCTCTTAAGAAAAACCTTGTAAAATATACAATAATTAAAATGTGACTATATGTTTCTTAAGGAAAAATCCGCTCTGAATTTATAAGAGTCTATGTTAGGCTCATTCATTGTTGCTTCACAACTATAGACAAACTAAAGCCTCTCCATGTACTCGTGGGGTCAAGAAACTAGTAAAATTCTATTGTGAACTTCAAATATAAGTCATAGTTTAATTATTTACGGAAATTAAATAATTTCCCAAATTTCAAAAAAAAACATTTTTTTGCGATATTAAAACGAAAAAAATTAAAATTGAAACGACGTTGCGGCTTGCAAAAATTCAGTTATGCTTTGCTCTGTATTTTTCTCCTCCTCAAATTATTTTCCATTTAATTTTAAGCACAACAGGAAACATGAGACTTTGATGGAACTGCTTGACTTCATGGAGGAACCGTTATGGCGTAGAGATAAGAAAAGAAAATATGGTGAATTTAATTTCATGCTTCGCAACGCCAAGACTGACACGCGGCGTATCCAGCGTTTGTAGGGTCGGTGGAAGGCAAGAAGCTATCACAGCGACACAAAGAACAAGAGCGAGAAACACATGAGATAAATATGAAATAACAATAACAATAAAATAAAATAAATACGAAAGGGCAGCACACAACGAAAGTAGCACAGGCGTTAAGGCTATAAGCCGGAATGACTATAAACAAAGCGTAATTGGAGCAACTTCAACGAAAGTATTCCCAGCGCGAGCGCAATTCTTTTGTGTGTGGCTTCTACGCTTAATTATTTAATTTAACTCACAAAAAAAAATTGCTATTAAACCTATTTGCCATTTTTAACATTTTTATCATTTTGACCATTTTTACCATTTTTACCATTTTTACCATTTTACCATTTCTACCAAGTCTTTAAGAATTGTAAACATACAATTTTACCGGCAACCGGAACTAAAACACACAATAAAACAACACAATGAAATGTCGCACTTGCTTGTGTTTATAAACGTGAACGCAAGCAAATGTTGACGGAAATGGTGCGGTTATAATTTGTGGAATGCAGCAAAGTGTTGAAGGGCACACAAAGCAGCAGACTTAACAAATTTACACACAATTCAAATTTAAATTACAAGCAAAATTAAATAAACCAACTGCTGAAAAATCATATTTATAATTTTATTACCAACATTAATAAAACATATATATATTATTTTAGCAACATTTAAACTATTTTGTTTAACAGAACATGTTGCGAGACACAAATGTTGCCATAGAAACAGAAAAAAAACTAAATTTATTGATTTTTTCACAATATCCAAAATATGCACAACCAATTTTATTTTGGCAATGCAAGTGTGCATTCACCTCAATGCCAGCAATGCCAGCCATCCCAGCTGAGCAACAACAGAAAAGATAAAGAAAGAGAAAAAAAAACAATATAATTCCAACTAGTAATAAAAATTCCAACTAGAATTAATTCGTTCTATGCAAATAAATTCAAGCAACAAAAACAACAATAAACGAAATTAAGAAACATGTAACGGTAAAATGCATGCTATTCATGCATACGACATATCAACTGTCAAACCAAAAACCGGCATGCACAACTAAAAAACAACAACACAACATCACAGCAACAACACTAAAAACAACTACAACAACAACAACAGTAATAATAATAACATTCAAATTAAAACCGAAACTAAATTAAGCGGAGCGAACGCAGCAACATAGCAGCTAGCAGTCAACTTAACAACAACAAAAACACAGCAGGTGCGCTTTGCACTTGTAACTTTACTATTATTTGTGTTTGTTTATTGTTGCTGTTGTTGTTGTTGTTGTTGTTGTTGTTGCTGTTGTTGCAGTAAATAAACGCGTGTCGGTAGCGTGCCAACATTAAAAAGAATATGTCACCAGAAAACAAAATGGCAACAACAAACAAAATTACAAAAACAAAATATGGAATTTTTGTTTTAAATAATTTCAAAAATTTCGCTTAAGTTAAAAATGACAAAAATATTTTTTAAATTTAAATGTAAGATTCTCATGAACTTGACATTTACCGTAATTTTTTATTTGTTTATTTCTTTAGTGTTTCATTTCCTTTAACAAATTTATTTTTTTTTTTTTTTTGATTTGAAAACTTTATATTTTTTATTCACACATTTTTTGTTTTATTGTTTTCACATAAAATCATTCTCTAAATTTCTGATAGATTTTTTATGCTAATTTTGCTTTGATTTATTAGCAAAAATTTGTTTAGCACTTCGTATAACATTCACTTTGTTGTTGTTTTCACATTTTTGTTTTGTTTAACCAATCACAAATGATCCGTGAAATTTTACTTGTTAAATTTTTTTTTTATTTATTTTCAATCCGCTGTTTTATATAGAATTCGTTATTAAATCTCGCGCCTCAACACAACGATTTAACCAACGCGGATAACGGCGAAACGAAGACTGTTTAAGGTAACAAACTAGCCAAAAACAGTTGCATGCACAAGATATGGCAAACAAATCAATTCGTTTGCCTTACAACATGTTGGATTCGTTGAGCGTTTGCTTTCAGTTCAGTTGTTGTAAACGATAAACAGTAATATTAGTAAACATAATACAACATGTTCGTTTGATTTGAAACTGAATTGTATGCACATTCAAGTTGTATGTTGCTTTATACTTAGAGATTGTATATACACATTTTGTAGCAACATGCTGCTAAGAACAGTTTTTAAGGCACTAATAAATATTTAATCAAAAGTTTACTGAATTTTTTGCATGAGATGGTTTTGCTTAGTAAATCTATAAAGTATTGTGGGATTATAGTAGCTTTTATAAGAGAATATTCAAATAAAATAATTGATAAAGATGTTCTGTTTAATATCTAATTTTAAATCATTTACTCAAAAAAATCCAGTAGTTGAGAATTTGATTCAACACAGTGGTCTGCAACATACCCATTAATATCTTGTCCATCGGTCTACCATTTAAAAAGGGGTCATTATTCCATTGTCAGACATTTTATTATTAAGCATTAACTAATATGACTTTCGGCACATTATGCTGTCCCATACTTTCCCGCTGGACTGGACGCCCATGTAGGTAGCTAATAGTTTAGTAAAATAAATCTAATTTTAATTAAAATTCTTTAATAATTGGAGTGAATTGAAGGTTGTTTAAATTATATTGTCAAGCCCAATTTTTTAATATTTCAATTCAATTTCAATTAAAATATACTTAAAAATTAATAATAAAAATTAATAATAATAATACTAAAAGTAATGATAACATTCAAAATTTAAATAATTTCATAAATTTCTTTCAAAACCGAAAAAAAAAAAATTTTAAAACTTTATAAAAGTTTTCTTTTAATATTGTATTTATGTTGAAAATAATTTTATAAAATTACAAAAAAAAATTCCCTTAAATCCAAGTCGGAAGGATTCTTCGTTCATTGCGAGTAAACCGTAAAATTGTAGTTGGCAAGAGTAAGCATAGTAAAATTAAAAGTTTCTCATTGAACGATAAATTCGCATTAAAGACAAACATCCGCACAATAAACCACAACACCTGACTGAACGCAAACAGATTAAATACCAGCCACGGCACCGATAAGGCACATGGCATTTCTAGCTGATACTCCAGTCGAAGCAAAGAGCAAGCAAGCTCGAGCGATGGGTTGAAGGTAAGCGAGTACGTTAAGTTGTGAGGTTAATGCTGAACACTGACACTCACGTACCGAGCAGATACAAATTCATAGATATTGGTACATGCACATTTGAGTCGTACGACAAAGTTTTGCTGCTGCATGTGCTGCTGCATGTGCTGCACTTGCCGAACTATTGGAGCTGGTTCGGTGTTGTTTCATTGAGAGAGTTTCCTTCCAGCAGGTGACGTTTTTGATTAAATTTTTTCAACGTAAACAAATTAATTTCAGAATTAATTTTCAGATACCAATTTTGAGCGTAAATGTAAACTGACAGCCACTCTGCACTTAAGTGTGCTCCTCACATAACAGAAGAAGGGAGTTTAAGTGCATTTAAATTCCTGCAAGTCCTGTCATACTTAAATTAAATTATTACCTATGATAATGAATTGAATAAAAAAAAATGTGTTCTTTGCTGTTGAGATAGATACGATTAACTTAAATAGAATTTTTATAAATAGAATTTATTCTGTATATAAAAATTCTACAACTCTAACTAAATTACTAGTATCTGTGTTTTATAAACTCTTTTATATTTTGCTGGAACTATAACATCAACGTTAACTTAAATTAACATTATTTCTCATTTTTTAAACATAACGTCTTAAAAAAAATAAATTTAATTACATATATGTACATAATCACATAATTAGTTAAATGTTTTCTCAATAAATTGATAATGTGATATGTGATATATTGCAGTAATCTGGTGAAATCACATTACATCTATGCTTCGTTTCAGCTAGTTCAAACTAGTATCGTTTTCGACCAAACTCGCTGTTGACACATAGCAGAATAACTAATAACCACCCACCGATGACAGGTCGACATATTACACGAGTTCGGACATACTACCTCGATAAAGTAAGAAACGAAATCATCAAAATTAGTCCAGTAAAAATGAGCTATCATATATTTGTAGTGTTCTACATATGACAGTAACCCCCAGACCATAAGCCACCACAAATGCAAGCATTTGCTTATTTACGAAGGCATTCAACCAGATATAAGCTTCATCACTAAAGATGACTTTATCCTAAACAAATGGATCTGTTTCAAATTGTTTGAAGGTACTATATGCAAAATTACCTAAAAAATGTTCATTTACTATAAGTCTTTAGGTCGACTGAGTTTTATAAATTTTTAAAAATCTTTCTGTTCTCTGTTCATTGTGAAATCATCAATTCAGATAGAAGATAGAATAAAATGAATTTTCCAAATATATTTGCAAACCGTTATCAAAACTTTGGTGGCTCAATTCACCCTGACATTACGATTTCAATTAAAATGCATTCCATCTTTATCTTTATGGGTTCAGCACAAGTATAACAAATTTGTTTAAATTGCGAGGAAGACGCATGAAGAAGCGAATCCCAACAACAATAAAAACAAGAGCACCAGTACCAGCTCCATCACCATCACTAGCATCACTAACATCAGTAACCACATTAACTTATTTACTTTAGATAGAAATCTTCTTAAGAAGCTATAAGCCAACTATTACGGCCCATCAACCTACCTAACAACGAGGCAATAAAAATTTTTAATGTCTCTGGAATGAGCATTTCTGAATTCCATTAACAATAGCAACACGGCAGCTTCTAAATCAGCCAAAGACCAGACAAAAAAAACGCCTGCGGACAAACGCAGCACGTACGAGTACATCTCGTACGCCGGCGCACAAATGAAAATAATTTATGCGATTTGAAGATAAATTGTAAAATTTCTTAGCTTGCAATTCGCTGTTGGTCTCGTCTCGGGTTGTCTTCTTGCCGCGTCAGTGATATTTCTTCTTCTATTTTTCTAAAGATTTCTGTGCATTTTTTTCAGATGCGCAAGCCGCTGTGCTCCACTGAATAAAGTTGCTTGCTGCACTCGCCGGTCGTCGGTGCTACGTGCATTGTTCTCTTGCATGACAAGATCGCATTGCAGCATTGCAGCATTGCAGTATCTTAGCTGAAGTACTGCAGCAGTACTGAACTGCATTGAAACTCAGGTCAATCCATGTAAACTTGCTTTTAATTACTTTACATGCTGTTGGAGCTCACATTGAAGCCGCAAATAAATCGTAACAAAGCTCGTGTTATGCAAACCGTTTTTTACGTTTATTGCAAAAAGCGGCTGTAATTTGTGTTTCGCCATGGTAAATTTCTAATGGTCTTGTAGGGAATAATAACATAAACACAAGCGCTGGAGAATTTTTTAGTAGACAAGCTGAAACCTTTTCGCATGCCTAGTAGCTGTCAATCTTCTTGTTTTTTATAGACCTATTGATGTAGTACAGATTGTAGATAAGGATCAGTTCAGGAACTGCAGTATGGATTTGGAAAACTATTTAATTATCTGCTTTCCTTTACCAAATGTATTTTTATTAGTTTAAGAATATAAGTTTGAAATATTATAAGATATTAAAATACACTGGATCTTTCTTATTATCACAATTCGAACTTTGAAAATGATTCTCTCAAGACATATTCTAAAATTTGGGTAACATATTGAAATCTCTATGCTTCAATGTATTAGAAAAATTTTCATTTTTCTGTAACTTATTAATTTCTCTATTTGTGCTCTTTCTAAAAGTTTCTTCGTCTATTTGTTTAGGTCTAAAAATTTGATGAATGGAAAATGATCTCAGTTAACCAATTTAAAATACTGACTAATAAAAAACAAAATCCAAGAAACATATAGTATGGTAAATCACGGTTGAGCTGAATATTTTTTTATTAAATAAAATATCATTTTTTATCAAGTATGAATAAATAAATCAAATATCAATTATTTTAAAATTTATAAATTAATTTAAAAACTTTATTATTGCCATATTACTGTCTTGTCCTTAAGTTTGTCTAAACAAGGCTTTTATATTCCAATTAACGAAAGCTATATACCTTAATATACATCTTGAGTAGGGAGATTGTATAGCTCTTATGGCAATATTCAAAAATTTCTATTGAAAATAGAAAACTTATCTATAAAATGTTCTATTAATGGCATTAATCTTTATAGAACTGCTCTCTAGTTAAATGCTTAAACGTGATGATGCTAGAGCTTTTATAGCAAAAGTTCTCAGAATTATTACAAAAGTATTCTGATATATTACTAATGCACAGTTGTAGAACTAAAAATCTGCACAGTGAAAAATTAGAAATAGAAGAACCACCTTAACGGCTATTATTCTCAAGTAAAGGATAACTCAATATGATTCTAATAACATCCAAAAACTTTTTTATAAAGTTTAACAAAATATAGAAATCTTTGAACAAAAATACAACATCAAAGTCACTATTTTTTATGACAGTGAGTTCTAGACTATAATCACCAGTAACGCTAAATTCCTGTAAACTTGTACCAACCGCAACCATTACTGCATCTTATAAGTATTCTGGAGATATTATATTTCG